GGTCCATGCCCAGGATCCTAGCTCATGAATCCCATACTGTTGAAGCAGAGCACTTGAACTTAACCACTATGCCTCAGGACCATCCCCTAGATATTGTGTTTGCTTCTTTCATGGTTAAGAAATGATTGGCAATCCAGCAAATTAATCTAATTTAATTCAAAACTTGCCAGGGATTCCTTTGAAAGCAGAGAAATATACTTTTCTTAGTGTGCTTTATACTTATAGTTTACATTTCTAGGCTTTTGTGTAGAAATTCTCCATATCTACCATCAGAGACTCCATAAGACACATCCACCACTATTAAAAAAGGTTTTGATGAGTTATGATACAAAAATTCATAAGTATTCAGTAATACACATTGCCATCTGGACTCGAGATGATTTCATCTGGCTTATATCCATGAAGATCACTCAGGGTGTAATATTCCTCCTCTGAGTGGCATCTTATAAGTGGTGCTGGTCACTGACCATAGCTCATTGGCACAACAGAAGTGATCATCAATCTCGGATGTAGCCGGGTAAGAGATATCTACTCAGAGGTGCTTGATGAGATTATTTGCCTTTGGATGTTGAAAGTCAATAAATAGATAACATTACAACATCTATATTCACTCTACGTAATTCACTACTTCAATTTATTAACAATTTAATCAAATGTGAAAATTTAAAGAAATTTGGATTGGAAGTAAACTAGTCAGAAGAAGCAAATAGAAGATACTGGTTTTGGAACTGAGTCCTTCTCACATTCTATTTTCCCAAGTTCCCTGTTTATTTTGTTATCCTATGTTAATCCAGACTGGCCTTTCCTTCCTAGCCTCCTAAGACAAGAGGGTTAGAATATTTTATTTCAACTTGGCCGTTGGAGAAAAACTTAGAGAAATATAATCATTCATCTACATACATGTTTACACATATATGGGAAATGGGCATTATATTATCATCAATGAACAGAGGCAAAAGGAAGATTTCTAAAAGAGAGAGGATAGAAGAAAAAGAAACAAATTCTCCAGCAGTATGTGAACAGTAAGCATTATTTTCTTTATTTTGGGTTAGCTGATTAGGGGGCACCTTGCACAGAGGGCGGTCTGAAGGGTCTACCTTGAGCAAGCCCTGTGGAGTCTCCAAAGAAAAAATACTTCACTTAATTATTAATCATCCCCAAATCCTTGGGAGTCCATCTGCAGGAACAAAGATGGGCTGTCTCTGTGTAATCTCTGCCAAGGTTCCTCTTTAGTAACCCCACCTAATCTAGACCAGGTTTGCCCCATCTCCATCACCAGAATCTTCTTAAAAGCCAAATATTTCCTTCAAGTTCAACTTTTTAATTTTTCTCTCATTTCAAAATCCCAAATCAGCTAGGACTGTGGTTCTGTGTGTGTGTGTGTGTTTTGTCCCTCTAGGAAACAAACAAAACAAAACACTTGGTAAATGATGAAATAGTTCCTAATTTAAACACATCTCAGGACTCTTGCTTCATCCCAAAGGCAAAATCTTGGTTACCACCAAATAGACCACACGGGGGCACTGTAGAACTGCCGAGCTCCAAAAGTTTCTGGGGCAGAGCCAGCTCTCTGGGACCAGGAGGGTTAAGGAGCAGCCCTGTTTGGTACTTTATCCCCTATAAGGATTCCTAGAAGAGACGCTAATTCGCACGTGTGTTGTCCCAGCCAGGAGCCATGAACTCCAGCTGTGCAGTGGTTAAGAGTCTCTCTGAAGTTGTAAGGGGAAGTGAAGGGTGTGGAACTGGGAATGGGCAGCCTGCACGCCCCAGGCAGAGACAAGTAGAGGAGCACCTGCTACAAAGGAAAAGCAAAGGAGCTGTGGGGATGGGCATGATGCCTCAAACCGGTCTAGCCTAGACCAGCCCAGTCCAGCCCCATGTGTCATGGAAGAAGCTTTGCAGGACAAAGCAGGGTTTCCTGGATCAGCTGAATCAGGGACCTGGCAAGGGAGGCCAGGCTCATGATAAGCAACAGAGACAATGACAGCAGAGCCGTGACATCACTTCCTAACCTCCAATCAGAGAAGGGATGCCCAACACTTCATCTCTTAGGGGACCAGAACTCTGAGCAGGGAGACCTGTGCAGTTGTGCCCCACCCTGCCATGGGCTCCAGACTCCTGTGCTGTGTGGCCGTTTGTCTCCTGGGATCAGGTAAGTCCTTGGTACAGACGGGACATCTCCATTGTAAGCCTGACAGCGCCTGAATCCAAGGCACCATCGGGCTCCCTCCTGTGTTGCTGATCCAGCCCCTATCTTCTTCGCTCACAGGCCCAAGGCACCATCGGGCTCCCTCCTGTGTGGCTGATCCAGCCCCTATCTTCTTCGCTCACAGAATCCAATCACAGTGGATTCTGGAGTCTCCCAAACACCAAGACACCTGATTAAAGCAAAAGGACAGCAGGTGACACTGAGATGTTCCCCTATCTCTGGGCACAACAGTGTATTTTGGTACCAACAGCCACTGGGCCAGGGCCCCCAGTTCCTCATTCAGTATCACAATGGAAGAGAGAATGAAAAAGGGAACATTCTAGATTGATTCTCCGGGCAACAGTTTGGTGACTATAGCTCTGAGCTAAACGTGGGCGTCCTGCAGCTGAAGGACTTGGCCCTGTATCTCTGTCCCAGCAGCGCAGCACAGCCCTGCAAAGTCACCAGCGTTCTGTGCACAAACCTCCCTGCCCCAGCGTGAAGCAACCTCAGAGCTGACAGATCTGTGAGGACCTCGGGGCTGTAGCGGGAGAGGAGAATGAGTTAGGGCCCTGGAAAGTGCAGCCTCGGGCTCTTCTGACACTCAGGGACATGGGACAACAGAGGATCTGTTCAGAGGATTGTGCTACATCAGTAGGTTCACTCCAACACCACCTTCCTCGCCTTTCCCTTTATGCTACAGGGTATGGGGAGGGTTTGTAGTTTACAGCTGACACCCTCTTTTTTTGGGGGTAGATATTTTTGGGGATCAAAATTGTTCGATAAATGTGTAGTCTAGAATATAGAAGCACAGGGAGTTGCTTTATATAATTTAGGGAGAAGAAACAGATTTTGAGAATGTCTAGGATAGAAAATATAATTAAAAATGGTTGAAAATATATAGAGCTACTGGATTATCAAAAAAAAAAAAAAAATACTGTGCTATTTCTAACATGATCACTTCGTTGCCCAAGCTCCCAAAGTCTTCGATACCCAGGAAACATAAAGCAACGCCTCACAGCACCTGGCATCACCCAGCGGCCGCTCCCAGGTGAGGACATCATGACCCAGATGCTGTGATGATGGTGTGAGAACCCTGGAGCTGATTCTGACGCCTTCCTTCTTGACCTCTCGCCTCAGGCTTTCCTCCTGGGGCACAGTGAAGTACCTCTCAAAACATAGATGTGGGCACGCCTTCCCTGATTATAAGCAGGCAGAGGCTCTCCAACTTCTCCAAGATGAATTCTGCTTCCCTGGAATAGCTTTCTAACCCTTCACCCCCAGATTCCGTTACCTTCAGAGCATCGCTTCTGGGCAGTCTCAGCTCACTCCGTGACGAAAGAGTTCTCCGCCACATTTCCTACAACACCAATGCCTTTTAAATCCTCTACAACTGCTCTTGCTGTTCCCATGGCCTCGATGGCTCTTCCCTTCACCCCCCAAATGGCCAGACACCATTGATCTTTCAAGGACTGGCTCAGTTGTGCCTTCCTCTTTGCTTCTCACCCTGACATTCCACAGCGCTATCCTGTTGATTAGTCTGCTCAGGCTGCCGTAACAAAACACTGCAGGCTGCGTGGCTTAAGCAATGGAGATTCATTTTCTCACAGTTTGGAGGCTAGAAGTCCAAGATGAAGGGGCTAGCGTTGGTTTCTGGTGAAACCTCTACTCCTGGTTTGCAGACAGTCTCCTTCTGGCTGTGTGGAATGAATAAATTAATCCCCACTTATATGGAGCCATGGAGTATTGTTATTCAACAGTTTCCCTTCACAATTATCTCCTCTTACCTGAAATATAATGGGTAGTCATTGCAGATAGTCTTGGAAAGCCAAGACTTTCCATACATTTCTGCAGTGTTCTGAGCAATCATGTTCTGTTAGCCAGGCCTGATGACCAGTCCTGTAAAGGACCCTAATTGTAAAGAGCTGGAATATGCTGATATTCTTTTGGGACAGAGAATATTGTGCTACAGTAATCTTCATCCGGTCCCATGGTCCTGTAAAGAATTTTCCATCAACAGCCACGATCACATCTTTAGAGACATCTCTTGCCATCATCAGGGCATTTCTCAGAAATGAACCTGAAAAACTGTTCAAGAAAAGTTGTTGTGTTTGCTAATAAAGCCTTGACATCCTTACCAATGAAAGGATAATTGTGTGTGTGTGTATGTGTGTGTTTATGAATGCATGTGTGTTTTCTTGGGAAGATACACAAAATGGAAATAGTTTCCCTCTGGGTGGAATTTATTAAGAGTCATCAGGTCACCGAGCAGAACTCATAGGTTCTTCTTGGGAGTGATAGTAAATTTCAGGTCCAACTGGGTCGACCTTAACTATGGCTAGAAGGCTATTTGTTTCAAGATTTTATAAATTCAGAAATAAATATGTAGAATATATGAACCCTCTTTACAAAATGCACTATATAAAATTTGGTAATAACTTATTACACAATGTGGAAATACATGGATCTGCTTAATCGGGAGGCTTTCTGGAATACAGTGTTTCCAGGCTGGATCCACCTGAGATCATCAGACTGTTTAGTTTTGTGTCTTGTATGATTTGGGCTTGTTTCCTTCACTGTAGCATACTAATTGCAATGGGGCAGCAATTAATTCCTTCTTCATCTAAATGTTGGTTCAGATAATCTTTTCCTCCACAGGCTGAGTATGGACTTGAAGATGAGCCCTAAAGCAGCCAGCCTGGGAGAGCAGTAGAATGGGTGTGGGGTGGGGTACAGTGGGAGGGCCACAGGGGTGGGGAGTGGGGGGAATTTCTGTTCTTGATGCAGACAGAGGGAGAAATCCACCAGACTGTGGACCTTCAGCCATGAGGAGACACTGTGGACTCACAGTCCTAACTGCAAGGCACCCTGGGAAGGTTGAGAGTGGCCCAGGAGGGGCCAGTTAAGGGAATTCTTGGTCATGCCTGCATCAGGCAGGGGGTTTGAGTTCACTGGGTTCACTGGTCCTGGGACACGTTGAGCTAACAGGCTCCTCACTGCCCAGGGAAGTGGAGACCTGCCTTGAACCTCAGTGAGCACCAAGCGGGCTGTCTCCTGAAGCCTGCACAGGATGTGGAGGGCGAAGGGGTTGGGGCAGCAAGTACTGGGTAACTGGTGTCAGGCAGGGGCAGGCAGAGGGAAATCAGGCATGTTGTGGGCTATAGGGGTGGCGATCTGTTCACACCCACTCATTGTTGAGGGGCTGTGCAGGACAGGAATGACACATAGAGTAGTCAACCCTGAGTTCTGCTGAGGGCAACAGTGGACTGGGAGGGGTTTTCTGAGAGAGAAACAGCAGAACAATGACATCAAGCAGGGATGTCATAGGCAAATGCTCCTATCCGGAAAAGGGGTGGTTCAGACCACTAAACCCCACCCCTGAGCTAGGAGATGTCTTGGGTTCCTGATGCTGCCATGGGCTACAGGCTCCTCTGCTATGTTGCTCTTTGTCTCCTGGGAGCAGGTAAGTCCTAGGCACAGGGTGAAAGCTTCTGCTGTGGGTTTGCCATGCCTGAAATAGGAGCCTGCCAATGATGGCTGCAGCGGGAGGCTGTCCCTGTGCTCGGCTCTCAGCTTCTTTCTGTCTCCTCCCAACAGGCCCAGTGGATTCTGGAGTCATCCAAACCCCAAGACACGTGGTCAAAGCAAAAAGACAGCAAGTGATGCTGAAATGTTCCCCTATTTCTGAGCATGACACTGTATCTTGGTACCAACAGGCTCTGGGCCAGGGCCCCAAGTTCCTCATTCAGTATTACAATGGGGAGGTGAGAGAAAAAGGAGATATCCCAGATCGATTCTCAGGGCAGCAGTTCGGTAACCGAAGCTCTGAGCTGAACCTGACCATCCTGGAGCTGACGGACTCTGCCCTGTATCTCTGTGCCAGTAGCTTGGCACAGCGCTGCAGGGGCAGCAGCCAACAGCACAAAAACATTCCTGCCCTAGCTCAGGAAGTGATTGCGAGGGTGGCAGCTGCCAGCCAGACAGGCTCGGTCCCTCATATATCAGACAGGCCTTCCACTCACACTCCTCCTGGTGCTTATATGTGCTGTGTTTTGTGCTCACAGAAATCATGCAAAATAAATGTTATTTTCCTTGTTTACATATGTGAGGGGAAGTAACGTTCCAGGGTCCCATATTTTATAACTGGCAGAGGAAAGACTCAAACTGAAGGCTTTTCCTCAACCCCTGTGTTCGCCCAACCCCTAGACCCGTCCCCTCCTCTGGCTTCCTGTTTCTAGGTCCGGATTAGCAGGTCTGGGAAGGTCCTGAATCCTATGTGATTATCATGATCTTTTTCGTGACAGCTTCAAAGACTATGACTTCAGGGCAAAGAACAACCATCGATCCTTCATTGTGAGAAAAAAGAAAGACACCATTTCTGCACTGTAGTTGCAGCATGGACCTCAGTCATGTGTTATCTTTCACGGGGGCTGTGTGAGTAGGGAGGTTTCCAGATCTGCCTTCCCAGCTGCACAGCAGAGGAATGGGATATTTGCAAAGAACAGCCCATGTTCCTGTACATGAGACAATTACCATGAGAGAAAGGAACACAAATAATCATTATTTATTCCCTAGCTTCTTTTACTGGACAAACATTTTGGGTCCCTTACTTTGTGCAAGGTATTGTATCACATAAAATAGAAAATGAAAATATGCTGCTTGCCTTTTGAGTTTTAAGGTCTGCATTATTAAATGTATAATATTTACCTTAAACATTTGACTGTTTCTATGGAAACCTCCTGTCACATGAGGGCAGGTCCATTACAGAAGTGCGAGCCCTGAGTATATTAATGCACAAACACAGTTCAGTTCTGCTCCAGGCAGAAGACTCAGAAAAAAATCATTCTATCATTTATTGACAATTTACTATATCCTAAATAAGAGTCCCTTTGTGTTTAAAATTTCAATTAATGATCAGGAAAAAGCCTAAGAGGCAAAGGAAATTACTGATCTCATTTTAAAGATGAGGGAATTTGCCCTTGAGTGAAATAACTTGACCAAGTCAAATAGCTCCGAGGATGAGGCAGAAGTGGGACTCAGACCCTGCTCTGTCTCCCTCTTAAGCCCCATGTTTATAACTCTGCGCTAGAATGCATTTTCATAAAGAGACACACCTTCCTTCAAGATCAGGATGCTGTCCCCTATGTCCCTTTCAGACACACTGGCTCTAATGAAATCGTTGACACGGATCAGTTCACCAAGGAGAGAGTGTGCAGAGAAAGAGCCCTGACCAGGCGTCATGGACACCTGGCTCTGATGCCAATTCCAGCACCTGCTGCCAGTCAAGACCTGAGGCCAGTTTCTTGACATGTGAGGCTGAGATTTTTTATGAGATGAGACTAATAATACCTATCTGTATAAGTGAGTGTTCTCCAGAGAAATAAAACCTTTATATACATATATATATGTATATACATGTATGTATGTATTCTATTTATTATGAGGAATTAGCTCACACAATTGTGGAGGCTGATTAGTCCAAAATCTAAAAGCCAGGCTGGTGGTGCTGGAGACCCAGGGAGAGCCCATGCTTAAGTCTGAAGGCAAATAAGCAGGAAGAGCTGATGTTGCAGCTGAAGGCCACCAGCTGGACAAGTCTCTCTTACCTGGGGGAGGATGGGTCTTTTCATTCTATTTATGTCTTCAGCTGATTGGGTGTAGCTCACCTATATTATGGAAGGCAATATGCTTTACTGATTAAAATGTTAATCTAATATTAAAACCTCCCTATTTAAATGTTCATCTTATTCAAAAACACCCTCTCAAGAACACCCAGAACGATGTTTAACCAAATATCTGTGCACTCAGTGGCCCAGTCAAGATGAGATGTTAAATTAGACATCATACCATCCTCCAGGGTTGTATAAAAATATAATAAGCATAAAGTAACTGGTACATAATAGGAATCTGGATATCTTGATTCTTTTTATTCGTCTCTGACAGCCTCTCCCTCTATTTCTTATTTGAAAAGGCAGATGTGAGCACATTTTTCACAAAAACATTATAGTTGAAATCTTCATACATCACAGAAATGGAAATATTTATGCTGGTGATTCATTACACGAAATTTACTGGATCATGTAACATACATCTCTCCTCAGGCATTTTAAAATCATCTTTATTGACATATGAAGTATATACAATAAAAATTACACTTTCCATGAACATATCAATAATTTTTTAGCAATATGTATGTATATACTCACATAATATCCACCTCATGAAGATATAGAACATTTCTATAACCCATATTGTTCCCTCAGGCCCCTTTGCAATGGTCTCTAAATTGCTGACAACGAATGATATGATTTCTATCGCTATGGATTAGTTTTGCTCAGGCAGCTTTTTAGTGGAAATTTAAAATTTCTTCCCATTAGAACAATTCCTCTTTAATACACATCTAACAACTTAGGAGAGTTAGGTGTTCCTGGAAAGTGCTATGGACAAAGACATCCTTGAAACCCCGGGGGGATGCCTGGTCCATAGTAGGGACAATTCCGTCTGGAAGTAGATGGGTTGATAAAATGAGCATCAAAAGATCTTTCTAATTGGTTGAAGCTGCTTTCATGAAATTTGTTTACTCATTTTTTTCATTTTCTTCTCATTTACCCAATCATTCAAATCATTTTATAATGATATTTTGACAAAAACTTATCATCTACAAGGAAATTATTCTGAGTTCCCATCAGACACACACAGAGCCAGGCTTCATGCTCGAACGCTGTGTGCTGGGGCTGAGCAGATCACAGGCAGTAGGGACTTTATTGAGAGATCATTCCTTGTTGGGAGAAGAGATTCCTTTGCTTTGGCCCCAAGTATCCATCCCAGGAAATACGAGTCTTGACCTGGAAAATGCTCCTTTCTGTTCTGGGCTTCACCGGGCACTAGTATCCTGTGGTGTGTGTCCTTCTGTCTCTTGGATCAGAGAAATCCCAGGCACAGATCTGGAACCAACTCATGGACTAGCCAGGCCCCAGCTTCAAGGCTTTTTGTTGTGGTTCAACCTCAGGCTCCTCCTTTGGTTCCGATTTTAGTTTGTGTCTTTCTCTCCAAGGCTCAGAGATGCGAGTCACCGACACCCCTGACATATGGTTCTGCTAAAGGGAAACCAGCACAAGAGGAGGTGACCACAGATCCAATCCTGAGTACCCTCCATGAACTCAGGATTGGCTACATAATTTCCAGAGCCCATGGTGAAAATGTTATTAAGAATTTGAATATCATGACTGCAGACTGTTGAGCCAATTACAGGGTCCTCCTAAGTGTGGCATTGTGTTCAACAAGATACAGGTTTTGAGCTCCATGATATTTGTGACTTAATACATGGCAGCCATTCTTCACAAGGTGATCTTCCCCATGGAGCAGATGTCTCAGATAAAGAACAGAGCACTGTTCACTTACCCTGGAGTCGGCCACCTCCCCGCAGTCCCTCACACATCTGTACAACTTTGTGCCAGTAGGTCATCGGCAGTGCAGAGCAACCGTCATTTTGCCACAGAGAAAGGTCAGTAACAGGGGTGAGGTTGATCTGCCTGCTGCTGTCTCACCCCAAACCTGGGAAGCAAGTGCTCTGGTATATAAGAAGGTGCTGTAGCTACAGTTGGCAGGTGCCCCATCTGGCATGAATTGATGAGAAACAGAGCAAACAACTCCTCAAATGCTGATGAGCCTGCCCCTCTGGTCTGGCAACCAGATACCAGGAGAATCTTTGTAGGCAGAAGGACCTTAACGGGATGCTGGTCAGTAAGCAAAGTAGAAACAGATACTTGAAGCAGTATTTGGGACAACAGAGCCGGAAAGGGCATCAGAAAGCCATAGGACCCTCCCTAAGATTCAAAACTACAGAAATAAGCAGATACATAAAACCACTATATTAAAAATTTTATCACAGGAATAAAAACAAAGTTACAAATTGTTTTGCAAAAAGCTGAAGAACAACTTGTAAGGCTTGCGTTAATTCAGAGAAATGAATTCTTCCCATTCTAAGCTGTTCCTTGTACATTTATTTTTGATTGGACCTTCTGGGGGAAGGGGTGTGCCTTTGTGACAGGTGGCTCTGAGGCCCAGGCAGGGAGAGTGACATCTCAGAATGACTCCCAGGAAAGCCCTGTTCCCTGTCATCAGCAGAGACACAGAAGACCCCTCCATCTGCCCTGCTCCTGCCATGAGCAATGGCCTCCTGTGCTGGGTGGCCTTTTGTCTCCTGCAGGCAGGTGAGTCCTGGGCAGGGATTTTTCCTGAGTGAAAATGTCAAGGTCCCACTGCTAAGCCTTTCTGTCCTGTCTGCAGCATCAGATTTACCTCCTCTTCCACAGCTCCAGTGAATGCTGGTGTCACTCAGACCCCAAGATTCCAGATCCTGGGAACAGGACAGAACACAACACTGAGATGTGCCCAGGATATGAACCACAACTCAATGTACTGGTATCGACAAGACCTGGGACATGGGCTGAGGCTGATCCGCTACTCAGCTGGTGCTGGTGTCACTGAAGAAGATGGTCCCGATGGTTACAGAGTTTCTAGATCAGATACAAAGAACTTCTCCCTCACGCTGGTGTCCGCTACCCCCTCCCAGACATCTGTGTACTTCTGTGCCAGCAGTTATTCCACAGCACTGCACAGCTGACTCCTCTCTGCTCAAAAAGCCAGGGGGAGGTCCTGCAGCCTGGGTCTCAGCAGAGCGCTTTGCAGACTCCTAACACAAGGAGGAGTTGGAGACCCAAGTGGCCTGTGTGTGCAGTGTGAACCCTGGACTCTGCTGACGTCCATCTCCAGGGTGGTCTTAGCCAGGCCTAGCCCTGAACACAGGGTCTCTTGCAGACATGTCTCCCCCGTTGCTCTTTGTGTTTTCCTCTGTAGCTGCCCTGCCACCTGGGAAGGTGCTTCCCAAGCTCTGACTGCCCTAGTCATGAGTCTGAGTCTGACATCTCTAGGAGGGAATGTCATTGGTAAGTTGGTACATATAGACCTCTCTTCTCTCCCTGGGCACCTCATTCCTGTCTCTCTCTAAAGTCCTCCCCCAGCCCTGGCCCTCATGTGGTGTTTGCTCTAGCTCACCTTTCCCATCCAGGACAGTAAGCCCACAGGACCTGCCTGGTCTTTCCTCCCCCCACTTCCCATGGCCCCCCTTGTA